TCAGATCCGCTGGACAGCTCATCTCCATCCCACACAATGGCACAGGTTTCAGCACTAGTCCACCACACAGCACACACAATGCCTCCACCTCCTCATAGACACAGAGCGTTCACTGGCAGGGATTTGTTGTCCTCTGGGGTGTGTCAGGGGCCAAGCTCTCTCTAGAGGTCCTGGGAAGTGTCCTTCTCCAGCCATGCTCCAGCCTCTGCATATTCACGGCTGTTGGCAGCAGGGCTCCTGAGTCCGCACTTCATCTGTGTTATTCTCCTTCCTCCTTCCTATAAGGCAGGAACTTACGTAGTCCTCTTCTATAAGTTTATGTGAACATTATAGTGTTTGTATTTTGGGTCAATTGAAATGATGACTGTGTTCATGTTTCTTGTTTTTCTTTTTGGTTGTGAGTCTAGCCTTTAACAGCTGAGTCATCTCTCCAGCCCATGTTTCCTGTTTTTAAAAGGGGTTCCTTATTCTTGTTTTTAAATCTTCTTCTGCAGTCAATTGTGGACAAGCCACACTCTCTGCCTTGATTTCCCTGGTTGACTATGAGAACATCAGCTGGCAGGATTTCACTGGGTCTGTTACTTAACTTTCTCTTCTGTTCCATATGTCCTGTCTCCATTACTTCCCTGTAGCACTTTGTGGATCTCTGAGACTTGGTGGGAAGTCCTGGAAGAAGAAGATGATGGTCTGCAGGAATCTGTCCTGTCCTCTTGCCCTCTCTTCTAGGTTTAGGTCCAGTTGGTTTTTACGTCTTGTGTTTGAGCATCAGACTGGATTTTGCTGAGTGTATAGATGAAGTGAAAACATCTGTTACCTTTAGAAGAACAACTGGTAGAACTGAGAGCTCATATAGCTTCAGATTTCTCTCCTCCAGGGGTCAAACATTCTGAATGCCATTTTATAGAAATTATGTTGTTATTCTAATTAAGTGCATCAGTATTTGTTTGAAAATTGTCTCTGTCTAATACCAGTTAAAGATGGGCCGAGGGTATGACCTCAAGTTCTCCTTCTTCATGTTAGTGGAAGCCTGGGACAGGTGGTCCATGGATACTGCCCTTCTCACGTATCCACCCAAGAGTTCAGGAAGGGAAGCACATTTAATTCCCAAGGCTCCTCTGAGATATTTCTTTACATGGTCAGGCAGGTTTTCAGGATTATCTGCAAAGACACAGAGGCATATGTGAATTTTCAAACTGTCAAAATGCAAAGGGGTCTAAGTTGGGCAAGGCTTCAACAGTAAGTACCAATGGGAGGCTTTCAAAAGGGCCCACTCCTGTAGATTCCACAGTTCTTGTGGTTAACTTGGAGTCCTTGTCTGTAGTTGGATGGTGGAAGAGAAACCATGTCATTGTCCTCCACAGCATGTCCTCCTGTTGCTGTGTGGAATCTCTGAGTTCCTCTGGAGCTCCGACAATGCCATGCTAGTCTGCAAAGTAGGGGAGGTGAGAGGTGCTCTTTTCCCTCCATGTCACTCATGGTAAGTGTGCACATACTCAGGTCAGGAATTCCTGGGTTCCAAGACTAGGGATATGTCCAGGCACCTATGAGAAAATGCTTATGTTAGACCAAAGATGAGGCTGGCAGAAAACTCCTTCCCCACCCTAGACCCGTGGCCTTTCAGAAAATAGCTGGTTTATTTCTGGTGGAGTTCAGGACATAATGAGGCAGCAGTACTGTCCCTTTTCTTCCTATGTGACCTTCCTGAGGGAGAAATCAGTGGGGTCTCCTTGGAAAGCCTTGATTTCAGGGACTGGTTTGTTCTAGCTGCTCTGCTACTGTCCCATAAACAGGCCCTAGGATCAAGAAGGAAAAGCGGTTCCACCAACATGTATGTTTCTAGGTGCTGTGCTTCCTGCACTCAGCTCACTGAACACTTGCCTAGATGACACAGGATGCACATATGGTGAAGATGAGGTTTGTCTGAACATATCCACCAGAACCTGCAGATCTGAGGAGAAAAAGTTGGTCAATGAGAGTTCTGGAGTTGACCTCTGAGACTACAGAGACCCAGGCAGTCACCACCCTAGCCATCCTATCTGTGTCAGTGTTCTGAGAAGAATCTAAACAGTTCCAACCAGTCAGGCTCTGTGCAAATCAGCAACCTACCCAGCATCACTAGGACTCACTTTTCTCATTTGGGAGGTGAGCATCACTGAGGAACTTTGGGGCAGAGTGTGGAAAGATATTGGAACTAAATCTGCACCTATTCCTGCTGCCTCCAGGAGGAAGTAAGTGGGGCAAGGAGAGTATTAAGTGTTTGAGCCTCATCATAAGATGACTTCTCTCACATAACCATCTAGAAGCCACCATTTCCTCCCTGCAGTGTCCACTGATATAAAAAGTTCACATTAAACTCATCTTGAAAAGCTACAATGGTAAACCCT